ATTGGAACATTGTACTTTAAACCATTTCTTACTAAAACGTTGTGCTTGTAAGAAAGCAAGGATTGAATGTATATTCTTTTGAACTTAAAACACAAGGATCGAAAGTTAATCAAATGTCTCATTTTTTTTCTTGCATTTTCAAGACACAATTGAGATTCAACATTTAATTAGACGAACCATGGGCCAACAACCCTATTTTTTGTATATATCTCGTTATGATCTTCATCATAAGAAAAGAAAATTAAAGTCCTGAGTTTTAGCTTGTAATCTTTCAAGCTTCCGGCTTCATTTGCGTTTGCATTCATCTATGCAAAAGATTGACCGATGCCTTTACATTAGCAAGATATTTCCATGTCAAAATATTGCTAAGATTTGTGGAACCTGATGCATCACCAAACAGATAATGTCTTACAATCAAATATGAAAAAGAAATACCATTGCTATAACCACATATATTTTCGAAGTACAATTCCCTTATTGAGGTTATTAGTGCGGTCATTTACTTGAACAAAAGAAACACACCAGAACCCGACCAGTTAAATACATATAAGCACCCTCTTTATAGAAAAGGATGCAAAACTTCACAACTAAAGACTTCGTATTTGAACCGAAAATAGTAAATCCGTTAATTTGTTTAAATATGTCAATGTTAAAATGAAAACCATAAATCATCAAATGAAACAGTCTATAATTCAAATAAAAACTCAACAAAATTAACCTGCAGTCCACCCTTGTTTATTTTGATGATATACCAGTAAACTTTAAACTTCCTTTTACAATATTTTTTCTAAAGATCCAGGACTTATTGATAGAAAACATGTACCATCCCTAAAAATCCACCAATCAGTTTTCCTTTCTTTTTACTCCTTTATCCTCAATTTCTAATTCTGAATTAAATCAAGAAAACACAAGGCACAACTCCAATGCATTACACCTTGCCATGTGTAATCACCAATTCGCCACTTCTTTTCTTCACCATCCACAGCAAAAAGAATGTTTTTAGAGATTTTGCCACTGCATCCAATCCCACTTTTTTTCCTGCATCATATAATCTTTACAGAAAATATTCCAAAAATAACCTTCATTTAATTTTCCATTCCGATCTTTGAAACTACATAAAAGAACAAGCTTTTGATAAAACCCAAATACTTTGACCATGTTGTTCAACCCTATCATTATCCATCTTCAGTTTAATGGTATAGGGACCAAATTGTCCTTTAATCCTGTCATCATGTCATCTCCTGCTAATAACCCATGCATATTCTTTTGATCTCGTTAATAAGACCATGACACCCTATTTTATTTTTATTTTTATTGCCACAGCTGCAAATTTTCAGAAAAGGACTGAAGTACCGTTTTGTAAAAAAAATTTATAAATTCGAATTAGATTATTATTAAACCAAAGTATCATCTTCACATGCCAACAATGAGCATGAAAAAAAGTTAAACCATTTGCAAACATTAAAAAAAATTGCAGCTATCCATTAAAAAGCAAACATGCACCCCTTGCTTCCGTTTTTAATGAACCAAACTATCGAACTACTTTCTTCTCATATGCATGTTCTTTTATATTTTAGAAAATTATTCCCCACATGCCCTTTAACTAACGGGAACCGATTTGTACACAACAAATTTTTTCCATACACAACAATTTGTGCATTAAAGTATTGTATTGTACAACTCCATAAAACATAAATTGTTGTGTATGGATAAAAATTGTTGTCTACGAATCACTTCCCTTAACTAAATCAATACCCCGCATCTTGCTATAGAACAGTCCTTGTTACTTTTATTCATTTATGCTTTTTAACCATGGAATTTTCCACAAAATTTGGTTTGTTTTTGTATCAGATACTTTTCAATATTATTATTAATCAAAGGGGAATTTTAGATGGCATTATGATGACCAGGTAAATTTAAAATAGTCCTGAAAATGCCCGATTAGTTGCATTAATTCAATATCCCCTGAGCCCACCCGAAAATAATTGGCGACTGAAATGTTGTTGGAATCGCTTAATATCACCCGTTCAACAAAAATCTTCTTACTAAATCCTAAAACAAAGAGGTTAAATATCCGAGAAGAATAAACTGCCCTTTAGATTCGTCAAAATTATAACACTGATATACTCAACTTTAAATAAGAATGAATTTGATTAATGGATTCTTTCAAGCGCTTGAAAAGAATACACTTACCTAATATCGATACTAATCCACCACTCAAAATGTTAGAACGTAATGTAAGAAACCATCTGTAATGATTAAATAAATCATAATAAAAAACCAAATTAAACATAAAATTAAATATCAAACCATATTAGCAGATTATTCCTACAAGAGCTCACCTTGAGTTATATGCAACAACGACCAACTCTGTGATTCAGTAACCATCACTTACCTTTTCCATACAAGGCTCAGTCAATGAAGGGGAAGTTCCCGTTGCTATCATGTTGAGCACAACTATTAGACTAGTCTGTTTTTGTAATTATGTTATATTATGAGGTGGTCAAATGTAATGTTGTTTTGTATATATATACACCGATATCAATGAGAGGGGGATTGATTTTGGCCTTATCACATATTCTATTATGGTATCAGAGTATTACGTTCCTTCCTAATTGGCGCTAACCCTAATCGCCTCTCTCCCTCTCTTCTCGTTCTTCTTCTTTTGATCACCTCCACCACTCTCTAATGACAGGACCGACAGCCCCCCTTCACCCTGCAGTCACTGTCACGAACATCAAGAATTACATACCAATCCTCCTTGATACGGATGACAGCCAATACACATCTTGGGCCGAACTTTTCAAGATACACTGCCGTGCGTTCCAGGTTCTTGATCATATCATTCCACCTGCTTCATCTACTTCTGCCAAAGAAAAAGATCCTAAAGCCGATGAACAGTGGTCACACCTGGATGCCATTGTGTTACAATGGATATACAGGACGATTTCTAAAGATCTCCTCATAACCATTCTCTCGCCAGGAACCACCGCTGCCGCCGCCCGGAAGGCCATTGAAACATCTTTATAGACAGTAAACCAGCCCGTGCTCTCCACCTTCACCAGAAATTCGCAAATGTCAAGCTCGAAAACTTTCCTAACATGGCGGCATATTGCCAAGAAGTTAAAAATCTATCTGATCAGCTAACTAATGTCGAGGCTCCTGTAGACAATCAGCGGCTTGTTCTACAGCTTACCTCCGGGCTCTCGGATCAATACGACAACATCGCCACTCTTCTCCAACAATCCACTCCGTTACCCGACTTCTACACCGCCCGCTCTAAACTTTGTCTCGAGGAAACCAGAAAAATCGCTGCATAACCCACCCGTCACCGCCCTCACTGCCTCCATCACCGCACCAGCAGCGAACGTCGCCGGCACAGCCTCCTCTGATCAGCGGGACAACGGAACATATTCTCAGTCGCAGTAGCCCCGGTCCTCTGGTCGGGGCCATTCGGATGGATCTTATCGTGGGCGGGGTCGAGGTGGACGGGGCAGAGGATGGGGACGCGGACGTGGGCGCGATTTCTCCTACTCCCAACAGCCTCCATGGTATTTCTGGAACGCACCAACATGGACCACTCCACCGGTTCCTTATCCCACTGCACCACAACAGCGATACCCGATTACACGCCCTCCTGCCGTCGGCATTCTCGGACCTTCTCCGGCACATGCTTACACCTCACAAGCTTCGTACACCCCTACCAACATTGAGCAAGCCATGCATACCATGACACTCAACCCCGACCCCAACTGGTACGCTGACACGGGCGCGACAAATCACATGGCAAACACGACAGGTAAAATCTCAACTTATTTCAATAATAGCGGACCAAACCGTATCTTTTGTTGGCAACGGCTCTTACATTCCGATACATGGCTCCGGACACACCACACTTCCACCTCCCTTCCCTCCTCTCAAACTCTATAATATCTTACATTCTCCTCATCTTATTAAAAACTTGTTATCTATTCGTCGCCTTACAACAGATAATTCTGTTGCCGTTGAATTTGACCCTTTTGGTTTACTTGTGAAGGATTACCGGACGCAGATTCCTATCCTGCGATGTGATAGCACCGGAGATCTTTACCCTCTCACACAACCAAATACACAAGTTACTAGTCCGTCTGCTTTTGCTGCTCTGTCTCAAGACCTTTGGCATCGTCGTTTGGGACATCCCGGCTCCTCTTCTTTACGCGTTTTAAATAAAAACAACTTTATTTCTGTTCGTTCTTTTTCCAATAAAAACATATGTCAGTCTTGTGTGTTTGGAAAACAAATAAAGTTACCTTTTTATGCTTCTACATCTTTTACATGTTTACCTTTTGATATTGTCCATAGTGATCTTTGGACCTCCCCCGTGCTTAGTTCGGGAGGTCACCGCTATTATGTCTTGTTTATTGATGATTTCACAAATTACATATGGACTTTTCCCCTGTCTAACAAATCACAAGTTTTCTCCATCTTTCTTGCTTTTCACAAACATATCACCACTCAATTTGAACGCCCAATAAAAACCTTTCAATGTGATAACGGCACAGAATACAACAACCAATTCTTTCACAATTTTTGTACATCCAACGACATGGCTTTCCGATTCTCTTGCCCTCACACATCACCTCAAAATGGAAAAGCCGAAAGAACCATTCGCACAATTTACAACATGGTTCGCACCCTCCTTTCTCATGCCTCTTTGCCCACCTCCTTTTGGCACCATGCCCTTCAAATGGCCACATACATTCTCAACATACTTCCACACAAAACTAAGCACTACTCCACCCCTACTTTTCTTCTTTTTCGCAAACACCCCACATACAATCACCTTAAAGTCTTCGGCTGCTTATGCTTCCCTTTAACACCTTCCACTTCCATCAACAAACTTCAAAACCGGTCCTCCCCCTGTGTGTTTCTCGGATACCCCTCCAATCATAGGGGGTACAAATGCTATGATCTTTCTTCCCGTAAAATCATTATCTCTCGACATGTCATTTTTGACGAACATGTCTTCCCATTCGCCAAACTTCATTCGTCTCCACCAACATACAACTTTCTCCATTCTGACTTACATCCTACTGTCTGGGATTCAGTTTCTTATCCCACCGCCCAAACTACATCGTCCCCTCCTACTCTTCCTCACACCTCTCCTTACAGCAGCCCACCACCCTCTTCCTCCAAACCTACAACCCCACCTCCTTCCACCACAGTCGGCGCACCACCCTTACTCCACACCTACTCACGACACCGACCATCTCACACTCAGTCGACTACTACCTAAACACATGTCGAGCCTTCTCCTGCCTCCCCTCCTCCTCTACCCACTCGCACCATGACCACCAGCAGCATGTCTGGGATCACCAAAACAAAACAACCCACTTCTCTTCACACCTCCACTACGACCGCCATAACTCCCTTACCCTGCAATCCAACCGAAGCCACGTTCATACCGGAATGGAACCATGCCATGACTGACGAGTTTAACGCTCTTATCGAAGCCACGTTCTAGAGCTTGGTATGCCACCAAAACACACGTCACTGGTTTATTGTGACTATGTCAGCGCCATTTATCTCTCTCAAAACCCGATTCAACATCAACGTACAAAGCACATTGAAATCGACATTCATTTCGTTTGTGAAAAAGTGCAACATGGCCAGATTCGGGTGTTACATGTGCCCTCCCGGTACCAGTTCGCTGACATCTTCACGAAGGGCCTCCCACGAGTTTTGTTTAACGATTTCCGGTCCAGTCTAAGCATCCGTGAACCTCCACCTTAGACTGAGGGGGTATATTAGACTAGTCTGTTTTTGTAATTATGTTATATTATGAGGTGGTCAAATGTAATGTTGTTTTGTATATATATACCCCGATATCAATGAGAGGGGGATTGATTTTGGCCTTATCACATATTCTATTAACAACCATTTATTCTACCTGAAAATGGGTATTTCCCACCATCAAACATATGCACTACAAGGGAATATATGGGATAGTATACAGATGTACTCTTTATCTTGGGTTTGCCTTTGTCGTTTTTAAATCAAAGGCTCATATAAAATTTCTTCTTAACATAGAAAATAAATAAATTGACTAAAATAAACTCACAAATTGTATTGGAAACTCACAACTTAACAATGGATAAAGCTTTAAAAGATTACATTAAAAGAAATCACCAATCTAAGTAATCCAACAATACAAAAAGAGCTCATTAGAAATCACCAATATAAGTAGTCCCTAGTTATAAAAACTTATTTACGATCATACTTGTGAAATTAAATATATACATTGTTTTTTTTTTTTATTATTATCATTTTTTAGTATGTGTAAAACGTTCTCTATATTTCATTTTTTACATAAAAGAAATGCCAATTAACCACCAAGGATGCCCTTAACTAAACAAATTTATGAAATCACTATAAAAATATATTATATATTTATGAAATCACTATAAAAATATATTATATACGATCAACCTTGTTTTGAAATCCGATAAATCCAACTAAAAGCTTACTGAACTATCTTGAAACCAATATTCAAAGGGTATTTATGAATGATAATGAAATTAATAAAAACTATTTCAAAATTATTTTATTTACAGTTAGGTATTAGTTGGAAATTCTTATCAAACACATGTTGTGCATCTCCTGCATCATTGTATGACTCATCTTTCAGCTAAGAAAACATCCATCAAGTTTGCTTAATTATCATGAATATTGGTCATTTTGGTATGAAAAAAAGAACGTCTTAAGTACTTACCAAGAGAAGGAAAACACATTGAAACAAAAATTGATTATTTCTCTTGAACATTTCATAAAACACGGTTAGAGCAGTCCCTCAATCATCAACTTTTAGTATAAAGTAACAAAAAGAAGAGAAGATTAAAACAATTTGTAATCCTACAGTCAACTCTTTACCGTTTCCACGCAAATCAACCCACAAAAGGTTCGACATTGAAGAAATAAGCGTCACACAGGTGGGTCGGAAATTAGAAACCATGTGGAGGCGTGAAGCAGAAAGAGACCCACGGATAGATCGAGTCAACATATCTGAAAACCATGTGATAGATAGAGCGACTATAGATCAGTAAAACAGTCGGCGACTTCTAGTTGGAAATGACACAACTCGATCTAGGGATTCAATATACATGCATATGCATAACTTTGATTTAACGCATCACAAATCGATTTAGGGATTCACAAATCGATGGTGCAATAAAACCCAGGGCTTCAGATTAATCTAACTTCTTCGTCGAAATAAAAATTTTATATTTGGTAAAAGCAATAGAGGCATGTAAAGTCAGGTAGGAGGGAAGCAATTAGGTGAAGAGCTATAGGAATAGGAGATACATACACGTTTCATCGAGGAAAGCAGGTGGTAGATGACGTCGATGAAGCATCTTGGAGTTTGTAAGGCAGTGACCGACTTCCAATTGGATAAGACTGGTTATGATAATAAGCAAGCAAACATTTTGTTGAAACAGGCAAGCACCTACGTGAGACAGGCAACCAAGGTGCTCACCACCAGATACGTTTAAAGAGACCGCCCAATCATAAATCATTGAACATCCTATACAGATTACATAACGACAACCTTCTCTACTTCTTCAGAAATGCTAATTATCAAAAACCCAAAACCTCAACTTTCATTAGTCTACCCGTTGTAAATAGCCTACACCAGGAAACAAAATGTAATTTAGAGGAAACCCATGAAGTTCAAATAAAGAGGTGTTTGAATTTGGTTTAATCTAATTAATTTGAATTCTAACAATCTGTCTTGGGTGTTTTGATGCAATAATCAGGTGTGTGGATGTGATTGATTGTTTTGCGTCGATACTTGCACCAATGAAACTGATTATTAAGTATGTAATAAAGCTTGCCTGAATGCAGTGAACAAAAGCCATGACAAAAAACATCACGTGTTATTTTCTGATGTCGACACATTTCAATCCAAGCTACCGCACAAAAAAGAAGAAGATAAGATATGGAATCCTTAACAAAACAACGATAGCCTTAAATAAACAAAAACACAATCAAAGAGTAAGAAATAGAGAAGTTCAAACCTGAAGCAAATGGGCGAAGATTTGGGTTCAAGAACAAGAGAGGATATGGAGATGCATTTTTGGGGGACTGCAGAGCAAAGGTGTCAATTTAAGGAGATTTAAACCCATGTTCTTCAATTCAGCAAGTTGAAAAGAAGTTACCGTGTTATTGGATTTTTGAGCAACAGACGGCGGGAAGGGAGGCATAGAAACAGAGGAAGACAATCGAGAGAAGAGAGAACCAACAGACACATCCATGGCAACGATCTCTCTTCTAGTTCAACTATCCTATGAAAAACTAAAATCAAATCCCTAGCTAACAAATGGGTTAATAAGAACTTCAGTACTTACCTTGATCGACTTCTCGTGCGCTGATGGGAATGAGAAGAAAATTCCAAGAAACTTGTTGAGAACCCTAAATTATAATCTTAATTGAAGATGCACAAATAAAGGTATCGATTTGAGAGTTTTGGGCGCTTACAACTAAGTACATGTGTCGTTAACACAGAAATCTGGAGAGAGTGAATCGACCACAATTAAACAAGGTGGCAGTAAAAGAGAAGCACGAGGTGGAAAGGTGCTTAAATTAACGCCTTCAAGGAAGCAAACCCCACGTTGAAGTCTTCTGCGTGCGTTAGCCTGAGATAAGGATGACAATTGATTTTTTCATTCTCGTGAGGTAAAGATGATGGCAGGTTAAAGGAACCATAACACAGGGAAGTCATATACGTTAAAAACGGCCGCCCCCGAGCCTCTCTATTGGTGGATAGAAGAAGCTATCGACGTGGACATGAAAGCTTTCCTTTAACATATATATATTATATATATATATATATATATATATATATATATTATATATATATATATATATATATTTAGGGTGAGGTTCAATAGAGAACCATAACTAACCAAGGAACCAATCCTGAGCGTCGGAAATCATAACGATCAACGGACAACGAAATAGATGTATACTTTTACATTAGACGCACACACACCGGATTATACCAAAAAATCCACCCTTTAAAAAAAAACACACCACTTTTTTTCATTTAAAATTTTTTTTAGGCCATGTTTTTTATTAAAAAAAAACCGAATATACCGTTGTTCATGATTTTTCGTCCTCTTTCCATAAAGATCCATGATGATATATAAAAAACAAATTTTTTTTTTCGAAAAAAATTCACTTCATTTTTTTTGATTAAAAAAGTTAAGGTCTATTCTTTATAGAAAAAAATTAATAAATATATCAAAATTTATATTTTTTGTACTTTTTAAACATAGATTCATATTCATGTTAAAAAAAACAATATTTCAGTTCAGATTCACATTGTGAACCTGTTCAGATTCATATTGTAAACCTGTTCAGATTCACATTGTGAACCTCCTCAGATTCACAGTGTGCATTATAATAACTCAGATTCACAGTGTGAATCTGAACTGATCGAAGCTTTTTCACATTGTGAATGTTAAAATTTGAAATATTTACAGTTTAGATTTACAGTGTGAATCTACACTGATCGAGGTTTTTTTTTTGTGAACATTCTCAGATTCACAGTGTGCATAATAGTAATTCAGATTCGAAATGTGAATCTGAACTGTTCGAGATTTTTCATATTGTGAATGTTAAAAATTGAAATATTTACAGTTTAGATTCACAGTGTGAATCTACACTGTTCGAGGGTTTTTTTTTAATCGGTGGGATGTTTATTAATAGAGTACAAAAAATTAATATTTTTGGTATAATTAGTTTTTTTTGATAAAAATAAATTTAATATTGAAAAAACTAAGAAAATTAAGTGGGTTTTTTTCGAGAAAAAAATTCGTTTTTTATATATCATCAGGGATCTCTATGGAAAGAGGACGAAAAATCGTGAACAATGGTATATTCGGTTTTTTTTTCGATAAAAAACTTGGCCTAAAAAAAATTTTAAATGAAAAAAAGGAAGTGGGTTTTGTTATAATCCGATATATGTGCGTCCATTATAAAATTTTACAACCCTTCCTTTTGCCGTTGATCGCTTTAAATTCTGACGCTTTGGATTGGTTCCTTGGTTCCTTGATTAATAATGGTTCTCTATTGAATTTTTTCCATATATATATATATATATATATATATATATATATATATATATATATATAAAGTGGGCCGACAACCTTCCTTACAATTCTCATTTACACTTCAAAAACTATCCCTATTTTCTCTCAAAAACGGGTGCAGTATCTTCGAATTTTCAAGTTTTTCCCAAGAACATTTTCAAATCCTCATATATTTACCTAGAAACATCAAGAACACTTCC